TATTATTATCATTAATATTATTATTATTTTCATCCCCCTATTGTCATTATCTTTATAAGCTTCATCATCATTATCATTAACTATACTAAACCTGAACGAGAGTGCTGGCTTTCGTGAAGCAATCGTAAAGATAGGGGCCTATTGATCTATTTATCAAATCAAAACGCACGCCTACAATGATAACAGACAACTACGTCATCCTCCGAAACATAATATGCCCTGCCATTGTGAAACAGGTGGGGAAATTTGCCATCCACCCAATACAATCAGGCACTTTGAGTCTGATTATATGTAAGGCAGCGTGGTGAAATCAGGCTCTCGTCAATTTTTGGGCATGTAGTGTTATTGGTATCTTCGTAAACCTTGTTCACTTGTCTTTATGTGGATGAAAAAAAATATCCTTTTATCTTGAATACAAGTCGAGATATTTGCAAATGAAGAAGGTGGGGGTCACCTGTTTTCAGAGGTAAAATTAGTGAGAAAATGGCCGCCAAAGATTAGTTATTTCCTTTGCTTAAGAGTCCGTGGAAACTGAAAATTTACTTTCTGTGCCTTTAATCAACGTTTTTCATAAAAATCTACACAAAAATGAGTTATTTAATGGGCGGGAAAGGTGTTGAGCCCCAAAAAAAATTGATAAAAATTCACAAACACAAAACTGCGGAAAAATGCAAGTTTCTTCACTTTGATTATTTTGACGAGAGCCTGATTCCACCACGCTGCCTCACATATATACAATTTTTTTTTTATATGCAGGATGATTAAAAAAGAGCACGCCAAAATTATTTCTCGATATTTAAAAAACGAGAACTGAGAGAAAACTCCAGCTTGGACACATGTGTTGTACATAACTTCAAGTTATTATTTCATGTTTTACCAGTGCTCAATGAGGCCACCACCGGCAGCACGGACAACGTCAAGCCGATATGAGAATCTCTCCCAAACCTGCCTCAGAATGACTGAGTCCACTGTGTTGATTGTAGCTGTTATTCGATCTTTCATCTGTCCCCGTGGTTTTATGCACCCCGCATAATTTATCAAAATTTGATCATTTTTTGCATAATTTCTGATTATTTTTCTTTATCATTCTTTGTTAAAATTAACAGAATCGCATAATTTCACATATTTGGGCTCAGTTTGCATAATTTCAGATTTTTTTTTCTTGGGCATAAAACCGCGTGGACAGTTTCATGTCAATGATACTTGCTGAAAATGGTACAACATAAACTTTGTCATTAAAATACCCCCACAAGAAGTGGCTTTTCACTTAACTGCTCCCAGATTCGAATGACTTCATTTTTCAACAAGATGGAGCACCTCACGATCGGCATAATATCTGGGTTTGAGCTTACCTGAAAGAAAACGTA